TGAAAATTTTCTGAAAAACAGCACACATAAATATATTCATCTTCGAGATAACTTAAATATTACAAACTGAGTATCAAAAATTGTTATCTTACAACCAACCACGCAAAACTATTTTTTAGCAATTATGAATGAACGATGTGATTGAATTTACTTATGTCGTGTGCCTTTTATTCAGGAAATAGTATTGGATCATTTTTCATGTTCAATTTTTCTGTTCTGACGAAGTCACTGAAAGTGGCTGAAAAGAACTAGATTAGGGTCCGTTTTTTCAGCAAATTATGACTACCTCAAAGAAAGTCGTAAAGGTATTTTTTGAGGCTTACTGGTCGTTATGCTTATTCCAAAAATTTCAATTAAGTTGTCTGTCGAAAACAAGGCCCATTTTTGTTTCGTTTTTGAGACTAAGTTAAGAGAAGATTTGATTCCTAAGTGTTATTCTGCTAAAATTTTACGTTAACTGTTTTATTAACTATAGTTACAACTTCTTTTTTTCACCCAATTCAATCGCCTGTTTCTAAAAATGAACAGAAAATTTAGAGAACAAAAATTGTCAATTTTCTTGCTTTAAACACGACCATCTTTTGAAAAATGTTTTTCTGATTCTTTTTCCGAGTTGAGCCCAAATTCCAGTCTCCATGAATCAAGTTATGTTGCTTTACTTAAGCTTTTTAAAAAAAACTAGCGTTTTGTGTCGACGACCTCTAGCTGTGCTAAAAGAGCTAAGAGTAAGGTTTGACTTTTTCCTGCCGATTGTGACTACCTCAGAGGAAGCTCGTACGGTTTCGAACGTGGTAACATACTATCACTGCCGGTCGACCAGAATGGCACTTCATGTTTTGAACGAACTTATTGTGTGAAACGACGATTAAGAACGTTAATTCGAAAAATACTTCGGTTGTGAAGGCTAGCAGAAAAGAAAGTTCTACTTTTTGAAATTTCGATTCGCGAGACGGAAACGTGACAATTATGAATTTCGCGGCAACTGAAACCCAATAAATTTTTTGTGGCACAAACAAGACAACAGAAATTACGAACTTAGAGCGAAACTATGACGAAATAAGAGATTGTTTTTGTTTAGTGAAGCTTTGTTTGTTTAGTAAGGTTTTTCCAAATACAATCGTCATATATTCAATCGACCGGATTGCGAAGGTTGCGGTATTTAGAGATAATATTTCTTCAACAGAGATAGTTTTTCAGTAAGGGTCCGCCCTTGAGCCCTGTTTTTAAACAAGCATAGCTTGTGTTATAGTATGAACTATCTTTTTTTTCCAACCTAAGTCGCCGCAAATATTGTTGCGATAAAATGTGTTCATTTTGACAGTATTCTTTTTGATCAATAACCAGCTATTAAGTACAGCCAATTCTAGGGATACTAACACCGACTATTATTGTTCTAACTTTCCATACGTGCAGTCTTCTTTGACTAGTGCTGGAAAAGTGGACTTTTCGATTTTAACAAACAATATTACTGTCTATTGCTCTTAAGTTGTACGCGCGTAGCATCATTTTCACAAAAAATCTCAACCCTTAAATTTTTTCATATTATTACTGCTCCATAGACCTCAAAACACTGTCGGAACTTTCAGGGCTTTGCCCTGATACGAGTTGTTTTGAATTACAAATATCACTGAAGCTTCAAGGTACCATGGATATGTAGTGCAGAGGTAGGTAAGAGACCCGCAACAAAAAAAGAGGGTTCGAACCTGGGCAGGTTTCTATGTTTTTAATTGAACTTTTTCGTATACTAGCTAAAATGCGTCCGCTCTTTAAGTTGAGGCATGTGCAATTTGTAAATTTCTTTCTTTTTCAAATTGACTGCTACTGCTAATGCGTCGTAATTGGCTTGCTTTACTTCAGAAATTTTGTAGACTCAAACTTTTACTCATTCAGTTTTCCCCAGTAGCGTTATCGGTCATATTTTTGCTTGTGTATGCGAAGTGCAACTTCGCCTCTGTGTAAACTATATAAACTTATAGCTCTCCGGATATATCCTGAATTGAATTCAAATATCATTATTCTCATTTTTTTTATTTGAGGAGAGAGATGTTAAGGAAAGGGTCGATCCATCTCCGATAGATATAGCATCTCTCCACAAAACAAAAACGTAGAATTATTAATGTATTTAGCCCTATTTTTTAGCATTAACCATGTGGTCTGGAGATACTATTTTTGGTTTTTTTTGTGCCCCCAAAGTTTTTGTGAGTAACGAAAAAGATTTGAACTAGATGTTATTCCGACTGCATGGCTTCTGGCTAAGTTTTTTTGGTTAGTTTCGAGAAATTTAGTATCTTTCGATTGAACGATTAATTTCGAACGATTTCATTGTTAATTGATTCAAGAATGTAGTGATTCAAATGGTTTAAAATATGGTTAAAATAAATATTGAAAAGTCTAGTTTCCACAAAGATAAACTATTAGCAGGCCTTATCAAATTGGTCCGTAGAACTTATTTTTAGCAACAGTAGCATATTGTTAAGAAGAATTCCTGAATCATTCGATGGCTTGATTTATTAAAGATTCAATCTTTTATCTGATTCTGCTCGTGTGGCTTAGAGGTAACGTCTACGCTTGGCACTAGAGGTCGAGGATTGAATCCGGTCAGGACTTGTTTTGTTTACCTAAAAATTTTCCGCATAAAAATATTTTTCGACCTATCGTTTGATTTCTTGTTTCTTTTTGCTGGCTTAGAGTACCGGCGATTTTGGTGATTCAAACTATTTCAATATATATCAAAATCAGTTTGATGTAATATTGTAGTAGGTAATTGGGCTGTAAGAAATTGTTATCAAATTCAAATTTTTCTAAATTACTATTTTGCCTGTCTTGTATTTGTCAAATATGCCTTCATGCATTCTTATTGTGTTACAGAAGGGAGAGATTTGTGTACTCTTGAAATCTGAAAAATTTGGCACTTTTTTTAAAGTCAGTTGACACTTCTTACAAATTTTGTACCATGATTTTTTGATCGAAACTCAATTTCTAACCAGTTTCATGAGAGTTATGAGAAGATTTTTTAAATTAATTTATGAATGGTCGAGTATTTGTAAGAATTTTATTTCGACAAATTATTTCCATAAGAATCTGGAAATATTCAATTATTTTGAGAATTTTCTAGCCGATGATTTTTCACCAGAAGTTTTTCCATTTTCCTTGTATAAAAAGTCGACGAATGGAATATTTATTGGAAATGAATCAAAAGATTGATTTTTTTTACATCAAGTTTCAAAGTATATAATGTTTGTTTAAGTGTAAATGAACAAGGTGATGTGTGATCTTTATGTCGTGTTCTTTTTTTCAGGAAAAGTCTACATTTAATAAAGCTCAAAATAGGTTTTAAGCATTTTGACTTTTGATTTTCTGAATTCTTTTCAAATTTATTTGCTAAAAGGAAGGCAAATAACGCTCTCCAAAAAACGCGCGAGTAAATTGTGAATGACTCGTAGCTCTTAAGTGAAGTTTAAATATTAGAGCTCCTAAAGTACTAAAGAAAATTAATAATGTCACAGTTCCCTCTAATTAGGTTGGTTTCATGAAAATATAATAGAATAATTGATAATTATAAAGAACGTTTTTTTTTGAAATTCGCAAGCTGAGATTTTGTTTTTCAATTTCTCTCCATTCAGTGACAATTTCCAACTAATTGTTAGCTGTGGGCAGTGTTTTCATAGATATTTGCGTGCGAGCTAAATGTGAGAAATTTTAGCTTAATCTGCGATCATGCTAAATGTCAGAATTATTTAATCGTCGACGTGAAAAAGTTCCTTTTTTTAGATCATTGCCAGATCTGAATAAATTATTCAGACAAAATGTTAATATCAAAATTACGCTAGCAAAGAAGCGTTATCAAATCAGAATTTGAAGTCGGTGCTCCTCACTCAATTCGTTTGAAGCTAATTGTTTTTGATGATTTGGTGAAAAGTTAACGTCTATATTTGAGACGAAAAAGCTCAATAATTTGAGCACTGGAATAACCTTTCCACATCACTGAAAGTTGGTATGAACCATGTCTAAGGTGCGTGTTTTAGTTTTAAAACTTAATTGGTCAAAGTAATTGGACAGTTTTTTTTTCGGCTCAATGGGCCCCGACAAAAGGAAAATACAAAAGCTTTTTTAATACTGGTGGTCGTGTTATTCAGTCGTGTTAGTTGTTGTGTTCTTCGCTAGCTGGCAATGCTGTGCTTGCTATGTATCGCAAGTGATGCAAATCTCGGCTTCGCCTGTGTAGGTCTTTGAATAGGAAATATGTTTGCAATCAAGCGGTGAAAAATAGTTTTTTTCTAAAAATTTTTCCTCGGCAAAAAAATTAGCTTTCCTTTAGTAAAAAATTGAGTTGCTTCACAAAAAAGTACTTTGCCTCATTAAAAAAATATTGTTCCACAGAATGGAACAATACAATTTGAATTTGTCAAATGACCTTGAACCTTTTTCTCGGAGAACTAGGCGAATGATTTTTTTTTGTATTTTAATGGTTATTATTACGTAGTGTTATGAACGTAGTGAGTCTTCTAATAAGGTCGTAATGATTTTTTATTTCAGGAAAGAGTAAAATTTGATCACGCTTAGTTTTTTTTTCACGGTTTGACTATTGATTTCTTTTTAGTTCATTCATTTCCATTGTTAAAAGGAGGTCAAACTCCACTATCCATTTGCAAATTTGTAAAGGTCACGAAAAACTTGATTGACTGCTAGTTTCGAAAATGGATTTTAATGTTCAGATTTGCCAGCGAAATTTTAAGTTCATCTATTGACCCAGTTTTCTCAAATTGGGTTAATTATAATCAAAAAAGCACCGGTCATAAATTGTTTTTTGAAATTCAAAAAGCTTTAAGGGCGTCTATTTTTCTTTAAAATTCAAAAGTTGAATTTATTCTTAAGTTTTTGCGTTAAATCTTACGAAGCAATGAATGAAGCTTATACTAGCTCAAAATGTTTTTATGAGCCCTTCTACAAATTAAAGGTAGCTTTTATCCACCTTATGAAACGTATTTGTTTTTTAGTGAGGCTATGCTAAAAACAAAATTTATGGCTACGCGAGTTTGCGTACTCTGCAAGCGATCAAATTGTTTCGAATCTGCAAAGTATTTACTTGGTTCGACTAATCTGAGGTATGAGAATTTCAAATGGTCAAAGACTAGCTCACGATTTCAATCAACATTAAATAAGAGTGCAGCATTAGTACCTGGTGAAGCAGTTTCTAATACAGTTGAGTTATTAAGTAATACTGATGTAATAACCCACACAGCAGATGCGTTTGGTACCCAGGCGTTTCCGGTTCTGAAAACAGCGGGTTTAGTTCAAGACGGATTGATCTACGCCACTGAATCTTTGGGAGTATCATGGCCTGTGGCACTGGCAGTTGCGGCTGTAAGCATGCGTACAGTCTTACTGCCTGCTACAATATATTTAAAGAAATTAGCGATAAAAAGAAGCAACTTGAGTCCTCAACGTTTTCAAGTTCAGAAGGCGCTCATGGAGGATCTGAAAACTAGAGCCTTATCGGGCGAAAAAGTAACAGCAGCAGATCAATTTAGGATTAGCCAGCGGATGATGCAATGGGACGAGCGAAACGGCTTGTCAATGGTTAAAATGCTTTGGCCTATGTGGTTACAACTACCTGTAATTCTCTCCATGTTTATGGGCATACGTGATTTGAGTGAGCGAAAATTCATAAGTTTAGCAGCAGCTGATTTTATTTGGATTCCCGATCTTTGTATGTCGGATCCTTTATTCCTTCTACCAGCAATCAATTTCGCAACCGTGTTATTAGTTTTGAGATTGGGCGTTGATGGCCCTACAAATGATCTTATGAAGTCTAAAAAGTTTGCTATCGGCTCTGTTGTTTGCCTTCCGATTGTGACTTTTTTCATGAATTCGTGCTTCCCTTCGGCACTTATTCTCTATTGGTTTTCTTCGAACTGCATCGGGCTTTTGATTAACAAAGCATTGGGTGTTGATTTTGTAAGACAAGCTGTGAAGATTCCCAAAAGAGTGATTCACCCGGAAGATTTTAACGAGTTTGAGATGACAAAGAAACTAACAAGAGAACTAACGGATATAATGACGCGGAACTTGAAGCAAGAACAGTATGCTACTTTTGATGCCCAAATGAGAGAGAGACACAAAAAACTGCAGGAATTGAAATATTCACCAAAAACTCAAGAGATGAAGAAAATGAAATAGAAAGAAATTTGATTTCGAAGCTGTCAAATAGTTTTAAAAATGAATTTGTGTATTGTTTTTTTTCTAGCAGATTAAAGCTCCTTTTCTAGGGCGTTCATTAGCATAGGTTGAACAAAATCGTAAAATTAATTTTGTTTTATATTTAAAACAAAATTAATTTAACCAAATCGTATAATAACTACTTTGGCATGTACTGATCTTAGTCCTACTCATAGTTCTTTGTCTCAATAGATCTATAGGAACACTGGAAACACGAGAGCAGTGTGAAACCAACTTTTTCTATCTAATTCAATTTTGGTCTGACGAGTAAAACTAGTCAATGTTCACAATAAATGTTTCATGGTTATGGAATCCGATTGGTTAGTAATAAAAACTTTTCAATCAGAAATCAGATAAGGCATGAGAGTTAGTAATGTAAATAGGGGACCGATCATTCAGCAGGCCAATTTGTTTTAGCTTACCATGATAAAAATGAGTCTTTTAGCAGACCAAGATAATAAACTGAAGCATGATTGATTGAGAGACTCAAAAAGACGCTCAGACTTGGGTCAAGCTTCCCCAATTAAAACAGTTATTTCACGATTTGTCATTAAAACTATCAAGTTCAAAAATATAAGTCTAAAGTAGCGGCGAAACAGAGATTTACGCGCACAATTAAACTCGTGATGAATGGAAGCGCAGTGGAGCAAGCGGTAGCTAATCGCCAAAGCAGCATTTGAAGTTAGCTTTCTGACTTCATAATTTTTCTGTGTCTGCTTAAAGATTGGTCTGCTAAAAAACCGGTCTGCTAAAATCCCTAGCACCGTGTAAATGAAACTCCGAACGGATTTCAGTAAAAAGAAACTTTGATTATTTAGAAAGAAGAAAACGAATTTATTTTTCCCAAGCAGAAACTTTAATTCGTCTGAAATTCATAACATCTTGTTTTCATAAGTTTGAAGTAGTCTTTTAAAATGATTATAAATTTAAAGGGGATAAGTAATTGGCGTCAGTAATGTCAATTAATTGCCTACCCAAGAAGTAACGGGAAGGAAAAATAGAATCTTTTGCAACTGTCATTTGACTTCGTTTGTTCTATATATTTCAAACAAAATTAATTTAACCAAATCGAATAATTAACTACTTTGTCATGTACTGGTCTTAGTCATGTAGTCCTACTCGTAGTTCTTTGTCTCAATAGATCTGTAGGAACATTGGAAATACGAGAGTAGTGTGAGATCAACTTTTTTTGTATCTAATTCAATATTGTTATGACCAGTAAAACTAGTCAATGTTTACAATAAATGTTAAATGGTTATGAAATCTGATTGGTTAGTAATAAATTTTATTCAATCAAAAATCAGATAAGACATGTAAATGTAACATGTAAGACATTAGTAATGTAAATGGGGGACCGATCATTTAGCAGACCAAGATAATAAACTGAAGCATGATTGATTGACAGACTCAAAAAGACGCTCAGACTTGGGTCAAGCTTCCCCAATTAAAACAATTATTTCACGTTTTGTCAACAAAACTATCAAGTTCAAAAATATAAGCCTAAAGTAGCGGTAAAACAGAGGTTTACGCGCACAATTAAACTCCTGATGAATCGAAGCGCAGTGGAGCAAGCGGTAGCTAATCGCTTAGGCAGCATTTGAAGTTAGCTTTCTGACTTCATAATTTTTCTGTGTCTGCTTAAAGATTGGTCTGCTAAAAAACCGGTCTGCTAAAATCTCTAGCACCGTGTTAATGAAACTCCGAACGGATGTCAGTAAAAAGAAACTTTGATTATTTAGAAAGAAGAAAATGTATTTATTTTTCCCAAGCAGAAATTTTAATTCGTCTGAAATTCATAACATCTTGTTTTCATATGTTTGAAGTAGTCTTTCAAAGTGAATATAAACTTAAAGGGGATAAGCAATTGGCGTCAGTAATGTCAATTAATTGCCTACCCAAGAAGTAAAGGTAAGAAACTAAGGCGTAGGTTGTCTTTTTTTCTCGACTAGATATCTAACAGAATGCAGGTAGAGAGTCAATTGTGGTATCATTTTAAACTCCATTTATTTGTGATTTTGATTCCAAAACAATTCTTCTCTGTGTCGAGAAACAATGTCAGTTTTTCCTTTTTTCAGACCCAATTTCACGAAAAAGATCACTCAGTTGAATTCTGCTGCAAGTTAAAAATTGTTTTAGTTATAATTGTCTCTCATTCAGCAGTTTTTTCCAATCTCTTTGCATTTTACTTTTTAAAAAATCAATAAGAATCAAAGAAAAAGAACAGTTTTTTACTTATTTACTCTTGCGATTAGCAAGCGTTTTCCAATTCGGGATATACAACTTGTTTAACAAAATCATTTGATTGCTTGGCCTATAATAAGTACAAATTTTTAAGCTCCTCCGGCATTTTTGGTCTGGATGTAATGATTAGCCTGAGATTGCATGTCAAAAATTCTACGTTCAAATTGCATGGATAGTTCTGTTTGGGCTCTTTTTAAATAAGTTAGGAAGCCTTCTCCCTCAAAGTTATTATATATTGGCGCCTACAGAAAATTTTTATGGTCAGTCGGCTGAACATAGAGTTCGTTAAAGAATGCCAAAGCCACTACCCTTTGGGTGGTGAGGGGGGGGCAATTCCTGAAGTAGTCACCCCTGATCGTACTAGAATCAAAATGCTCGCGATAAGTAAGCAAAATCCGTACAAATACTTCTATTTGCTGATCTAAAATTTTAACAGGCATATTCCGTTCATACAATCGAAGCTTGTGATAATTATATTACGACTTTTTTTTCCAAATGCAACTGGTAGTAGTATCTGTTGCTGTCTAAATCGTATCTTACTTTGGCGTGTTTTCGGTCTAATTTAGTAATATATTAAAAAGTGTATGGTCGACAAACTCTTATCTTATGACGTATGAACTTATTACAGTCATATTTTTATAACGTACAATCGAATATAAAAGGAGGACGTATAACATATGGCAAAAAAAATCCTTCGTTTTGCCAAAGGTTTGCTGTTACGCAGAAGTTAATCAGAATATGGTCTTTTTTAGTTAAGCAACTTATCTGACAAAATTTTGTTTGTTATAAGTTCAATTTCTACTTCTTCCGCGCACTTTACCTATCGGTAACGTCTTTGCCCGGGACAGCACATATTTTGAGTTAGAATCCTGTTTACTTGTTTACTTCTGCAATCTCAAAAAATAAAGCGTATTCAAAAAATTGTCGGCCTATCGTTTTTCTGCTTTTTTTCAACTTTGTTGCCACAGCGCGGTTTTTTCTTGTGACTCAATGAATTTTTACTCCAACTGAAGATCATTTTAATTTATGTCTGTAATTAGTAAATTCACCGGCCCTGATAGTGCGTGATTTCAGTTCAGTTTTTTCAGCTTGAAAGTTATTTCGGCTTAGATGGTAATAGCCGGGAATTTCGGCAAACATTTAGCACCAGAACATTAGTTTTTTCATTAATTAGGTTCTATAATTGGCTGTAGGAAACATTTCGTAAAAGAGCCCTAGTTACTTCAATATTACGAGATTAAACCAAATTTTAGGCATGAGCAGTCGGTCTAAATATAGCGTGATAATTTTTGAAGTTTAAGCCAATGTTTTATGAGGTTACGCATTTAGTAATAAATATACGCACATCGGTTGTGGCGAGGGATTTACTCCTAAATACCAAAACGAAAGAATCTACGATTGTTAACCATGTAAGTATCTCGCTAGGCGGATAAAGTAACCGAAGCCAGTAATCGAAATTGAGTTCAAGATAGTTGTTTGAATCTATGAACAAATGGTGTGACTGCTATGAAAAATATAACATGTTGCCCTATCTGGCCAGTGAGTTATTCCAGTCCCCCTGCTTTAAAAAAATTTTTTCGTAAGTTTTAGTTTTTCAAACAACAAATAGCCTTTTTCTTTTTCCTCCTTGGGGCGTTTCAGTTTTCCGTTTTTCGTTCTGTTGGTTTCTGGCTCAGGAGCTCCCTCCCCGCTTGAATAATCAATGTGGAATTCTTCGATATCCTCCTGAGCCGTGTCATAATTAGATGGGGAACGAGAATCCATTATTCGTTCGTCTTCGGTGAATATTTGAATCCCTTGTTCGTGTCGTATCATGTCCCGTACGTCTTGTTGTTCCATGTCTTAGTCGATACCGCCGGCGTTTCCTCTTGGAAATGTAGCGTTTCTAAATCAATCAGGTGGACCGTATCTTCTCATTAAATGTTTTCAGCAGTGACTTTATTGGGGATCTTCTTTGTGCAACCGGACCGCAGGGTTTTTAGCACATTCGTCTTCTTTTTTCAGAATTCGCAGTTTTCGTGATCGAAATTGCAATCGTTCAGTCAAGTCGTCCTCGCAACCCGTGTCGAAGGATTCATCGCTCATCTTTGCGAAGCTTGAGTCCACCTGTAGAGTCGGCGGCGAAATGCTTTCAGCAGATTGATCCAACGACTTTGTGTGAGATGACGGCGTTAGATCACTTTTTTGATGAGAACAGTAGATGGACACGAAGTGGCTCCAGTTACATTCAGTCCACGATCAGCGCAGAATGACAATAAAGCAAATATACGAAAGAAAGCGGAGGAGGCTAATGAAGACTTTCCTCCACGAGAGGCGAAAAGGAATATTATTAAGGACAGCGTGAAGCGAGCGAAACAATTGACCAAACGAAAAGATGGACCAGGCAGTAGCAAAGATTCGGTAAATGCAATCTATGAGCCAAATATCTTTGTTGGAAAAGGTGATGTTTCACAGTTCCCTGGCTCTATAGCTCACTGCGTCTCAAGTGACTTTCAAATGGCAAAAGGAGTAGCAAAGCAGATCAACAGCGCATACCCATGTATCAGACCAACCCTTAAAAGCATTGAAACACCGATAGTTGAATCATCAGTTTCAGTTTCTCTGCCTTGGGAAAATAAGTCAATCTTCAATTTAGTCACTAAACCACAATTCTTTGACAAGCCAACATACTACGATTTGTCAAGAAGCCTCAACTGCATGAAGCAGCAGCTATTGCAGAAAGGAATAAACGCGATAGCCATGCCAAAAATTGGATGTGGACTCGATAAATTG